GGAGATGTTTTGTTTTGTTTTGTTTTGTTTTGTTTTGTTTAGGCTCTAACTGGAATAGTGGTTCTCAAAGTCGAGCTCCTAGACAGCAGCATCAGCATTCCCAGCCTGCTGAATGTGAATGTTTTCATGTGCCAGCACGCAGGCCCCTACATTAACCAGATGCACATTGTTTAGGAACGTTAGATGAAAACTAAGTGGGATACAAATGATATTTTAGTTTCTTTTCCTGTTGTAATGAAATACCCTGACAGGAAGCTGGAGGATGGCTTAGCAGGTAAAGGACTTAACACACGATCCTGGTGACCTAACCTTGATCCCTAGAATACACGTAAAGGTGGGAGAAGAGAACCAACTCTATGTAGTTGTCCTCTGACCTCCACATGTGTGTCCACACACAATAATACTAATTAATAAAATATTTTTAATGCCATGACAAGCAAGCATGGTGGTGCGCACCTTTAATCCCAGCACTCAAGAGGCAGAGGCGGGCAGATCTCTCTTAATTCAAGGCAACCTGGTCTACATAGTGAATTTCAAACCAGCTGGGGCCACAGGGAGACCTGGATGGATGGTTGGTTGGTTGGTTGGTTTTTTGAAAAAGCAACATAAGGGAGAAAAGGTTTTGTTTGGAGTTTTGGGTTGGGAGTTTTTGGCTCACGGGTATGGTCCTGGTCCATCATAAAGGAGAAGTCAGAGAGGCAGGAGTCTGAAGGAGTTGGTCTTGTCTCATCTATAATCAGAAAAGAAAGTGGTGAACATGTGAATCTTAGTGCTCAGCTAGCTTTTTCCACTTATATCACCCAAGTCTCACCCACAATCCAGATGGGTCTTCCCACACCAGTTAATGTAATCAAGATAATCCCCAACAGGCACAGTCAGAGGCCCATCTCCCAAGTGATTCTAGGTTTTGTCAGGTTGACAGTTAAGACTGTCACAGGTAAGTTCTATAGAAAGTTTGTTACAACTCTTCCCTTGACTATACAGGTACTTGGAGCACCTCTAATACTAAATTCTCAATTCCAATCTTACATTCTTAACTTTACCCTCTTGAAAACATCCCAACCATTAACTACGAAATCCATGAACCTAGAAATGAGACTGTATTTATTTCTGTCTTGTTACTAAAATAGAATATCTTCATCAGAGGAGAACACTAAGGAAGTCTTTATTTGTATCCTTATGTGAATAAATGGTGGACTCAGATTATATTAATAATAACATTGCAAGAGCTGGAGAGACAGCTCAGCAATTAAAAGCATTGTGTGCTCTTATAGAGGACCTGGATTTAGTTCTCAGCACCTACATGGCTGCTTACAACCAGGGGGATATGAAACCCTCTGGCCTCTGAGGGTATTGCATGGCATGGGTTCATTTACATACATGCAGGCAAAATACTTTTACACACACACAAAATAAGAATATTGGGGCTGGAGAGCTGGCTCAGTGGTTAAGAGCACTGACTGCTCTTGCAGAGGATCCGGGTTCAATTCCTAGCACCCACATGGTAGCTACGAACCATCCTTAACTCCAGTTCCAGGGGAATCCGAAGCCCTCTTTTGACCTTTACAGCATCACACGACTCGGGTGCGCTCACATACATGCAGGTAATACACTGTACACATAAAATAAAAATAATAAAGCCAGGCATGGTGGCGCACGCCTGTAGTCCCAGCACTTGGGAGGTAGAGGCAGGCAGATCTCTGTGAGTTCAAGGCCAGCCTGGTCTACATAGTGAGTTCCAGGACAGCTGGGGCTATAGGGAGACCCTGCTTCAAAAACAAAAAACTAAATAAAATATTAAAAAAGAATATTAAATAGTGTGACTATTATAAAGAATATTAAATAATGTTTACTTTGGTAAAATGTTTGTCAGCTAATGTCAGTCACTGGCCAAGCCTTACATATCATTTCCTCTAGATTATTACTTATCTGTCTCTTGTGTTGAGGGTCCCCAAGATCACGCTTAAATTCCATAATTGACCTTGAGTCAGGGTATTCAGTGTGTAATTGTACTCATTCAGATAAACTTTATCACAATGAAAGCATATACAGTGAAAAAGCAAAGGTGCATGGAGCAGAAGCCCTAGGAAAGTCAGGCATGAGCTTCTAAAAGTCTTTGCCCAGGGAAGAATCAACTCTGCTCAATTGTCACAACAGTGAGTTCTGACAAAATGTGTACTGTCCATCAGAGAAGCTCCTGTCTGCTTTTCTCTTCTGTTTATTTGTGGGTTGTTTTTTTTTGTTTTATTGGGGTTTTTTGGGGTTTTTTTTTTTTTTTTTTGGTCTTTCTGAGACAGGGTCTCCCTGTAGCACCAGCTGTCCTGGAACTCACTATATAGACCATGCTGGCCTTGAAATCACAGAGGTCTGCCTGCCTCTGCCTCCCAAGTGCTGGGATTAAAGGCGTGCGCCACCACACCCGGCTATTTATTTGTTTTTTATGTGTATGAGTATATTGCTTGCGTGTGTGTAAGTGTAACTGTGTCATGCAAAGCCCACAGAGGTCAGAAGAACGTATCCTCTAGAGCTGGAGTTAGGGACGGTTGTTAGCCATCAGGTGGGTACTCAGAATCAAACCTGGGTCCTAACCACTGAGCAATCTCTCCAGCCCCATCCTGCCTGCTTTTCCATGGGCTGGTCACATAGGCAGTCTCTGCCTGCCATGCAGCAAACTTCTGAACTCTCAGAAGAAAATCAAGTGTTCACTATAAAATCTATATTGTTTACATGAACAGTCAAGGTATAGTATTTCCTCTTGTCAGTTAAAGACTGGTGTGAACCTCCCGAAGTACCTAGTTCCATGTGCCTGCCAAGAGCCATCATTGTAAGCAGGCCTTTGAAAGGATATTTGGGTTATCTCTGTCTCTTTTCTGTACATGTGTCTCCAGAGTTCTCTGGGTCTCTTACACTATCAGGCAAACCATATAACATATCTTTATGTACATTTATTATTATCATGGTGGGGGGGTGACTTACAAAGACACAAACACCCAGTGCCTTGCTCAGCGCTCAGCTCGTCACCGCCCAGCTCTGAGCCATGGCTCAAGAGCTCACCATATGTGATCATTCCCACAGCACACCCATAGTCACTGCTAGCTTTCACCCATGCCTCAGGGGCCAGTCCATTCTGTGCCAGGCCATTCTGTTCCTAAGTATACCCCAGCTTCCTGGTGGCTTGCAGCTTTGGTCCCAAGATGGCGCCACAGGCCCCTCCTTCTGAAGCTAACTCTCCATGGTCAACTTTCCGCAGCAGGCCCTGCCCCTTGGAGGAACCAGGACCCCTGGGGAACAACACATGTGTCCTAAGAAAGTCAGTACTTTGTTCCATTCCTTTTATCACTCACTGGTCTTGATGTATGTCTGTGTCATGCTATCCTTCTTAGAATGTGAACTCTTGTGAGGACAAATAGATCTGTAAACTGTCAGACATCAAGATGAATGCCACTTACACTGGACCTCAGGAAATCCTTCACTCTTGGCTTGAGTGCCCACTGTAACACAGCCGGTTGAAATGCTGGCTAGTTTTTGGTGGCATGTACAACTCTCCTCTACACCAAAGTGATCAGACCCAGACTTAGGGCTCCCTGGAGGGCTGGGCTGTTCATTCTATTAAGTACTTCCTTTCACTGCCTTGAGTTTCCTCTCACTTCTACTTAAATCTCACATGTGGTGTTTCCTGTCTAAATGTAAATTCTTTAAAAGAATCTGACTGTTCTGTTTTGCTTTTGTTTCACTGAGAAGTCTCACTATTTAGTTCAGGCTGTCCTCAAACTTGAGGTAGTTCCCCTGCCTAAACCTCTTGAATGCTAGGATTACAGGCTAGGATTACAGAGCTAGGATTGGCATTGGGGAGTGGTTAATGATGATACACATTACGTAGAGAAAACTTTAAATGAGGAGACCTAACATTCCTCGTATTTTAAATATCTCAAACAGTCTTTATTAGGCGGCGGGGGGGGGGGTGTTTTGAGTCAGGATCTCCCAGTCCACCAACTGGACTGGAACTCACAGAGATCTACCTGCCTTTGCCCCCCGAACACTGGGATTAAAGACCTGTGCCACCAAGCCTGGCCCAAACAGGCTTCTTTGGGAAAGAATAGTTAATCACGTTTTGATCAAAAAAGATAGAATTGTAGAAAAGCCCTTCTCTGTTTTACAGAAACCTCCTGTGGTCTGAACAGCATGTGACACAGTGGCAAAAACCAAATCAATTTCAGTAGTGCATTAATTGTTGTTTAAGCCTCAATTATCTAAGCTGTGTTACACAGGGTTGAGCAAATCATGTTAAGCCAGTTAGTTTTGATTATATACTACATTTTGCCAAACTTTCTTCCCAACCTGCAGTTCTGTGAAGCCAGCAGACTATCATTATAGATATGGTAATAACTGTGATTAATCATACCCCATTTGTAGCAAACCACATTGACAATATTCAGCCATATTTGCTGTTGACCATAGTGCTCCTGCTCTCGTTTCCCACTTTTTTTTCCCTGTTACTCTTGTCTTATCAGTATTCATAGGCTAGAGACTTGCTCAGTCAAAGTGCTTGTCATACAAGCATGGGGACCTGAGTTTGAGTCCCAGCACCCATATAAAAAGTCAGGTGCAGCAGCACACACATGAAATTCCAGCACTGGAGAGATGGAGACAGGAAGATTGCTGGTGAGCTCTAGGTTTAGTAAGTGAGAGACCTTGTCTCAAAAATAGAGAAAAATGTTTGACTTTGACCTCTGGCCTCCACACAGGTGTATACACACGTACCACACAAAGCACAAAAAAGAAGAAAGAGATTTGATTGATCCCATTCAGAGGGTTTAGAACTAAAAAGTAGAAATTGGAAAGGCTAATTTTTCTTTTATTATTCTCATTACTGTGTTCTCATTTCCCCTACCAACCCTGGCTCACAGCTTAGACTAAATGTATGGACTCTGAGGTCCATGTAAAAGGCTATTTCTGCTATTTAAGATGAATAAATCCTCTTTTGTTGCCATTCTTTGCAGGTATAAAGAAGTGAATAAATAGGGATCACGAAGTCTACTAGAGAAACTTCTAGGTGACCCTGGGCTACCATTATACCTCAGATAATAAGGTATTGGGCTTTTCTTTATTCTTCTGTTACACATTTATAGTTTCTTGGGCTTCTTTCTAGACAAGCTTAAAATATATATCACTGTGGAATCATACCTTTGATCCTAGCACTCAGGAGGCAGAGGCAGAGGCAGGCAGATCTCTGTGAGTTCCAGGCCAGCTGGGGCTACAGGGAGACCCTGTCTCAAAAAGAAACACACACATACACACACACACACACACTCACACACACACACACACCTATATAGTGAGTTCCAGGACACACACACACACCCCTCCCAGCTGGGGCTACAAGGAGACTGTCGTGCCCCTGCCGCTGCCAAAGAAATAACTCAGCAGATCATTATATACCTTTCCCTTCTGACCTGGTTTTCCTCTCAGAGCAAGTGGCCTCTGCCTGTCGATTTCAGGGTTTACAAGCAGAAGCAGATATCGTGAATTACTACTGCCTAGACTCCACTCTGGGGATCCATGTGGACAGATCAGAACTAGATCACTCCAAACCCTTGCTGTCATTCAGGTAAGTTAGTTCCTGGAAGTTCAGGTTGGTTGGTTGGTGGGTGGGTGAGTGAGTGGTTGGCTGGTTGGATGGATGGATGGATGGATGGATGGATGGATGGATGGATGGATGGATGGATGGATGAAGACAGACCTGGAATTCACTGTGTAGATCAGGCTGGCCTGTCCTACCTCTGTCTCCCAAGAGCTGGGATCAAAGGTGTGCACAACCATGCTCAGCTCATACTGAGCTCATACTCACTTTTTGTCATTTAATTTTGGAGAAAGCATTTTTAAAATCTTTATTTATTTATTGTATCTGTATGACTGTTTTGCCCGCATGTAAGTGCAGCTGTGTTGTACAATGCCTGCAGAGGTCAGAAAAGGGCATCAGATCCCCTGGAACTAGAGTTACAGATGGTTATTAGCTGCCTGGTGGATGCCAGGAACTGAGCCCATGCTCTTAACCACTGAGGTACTTCTCCAGTCCTATGCAAGGCATTTTTAAGTCAAATAAAAGATAATGAGCTTTATAATGAAAGGTGTTGTCGTTGCTATGTGTCATACTCAAGTTAGAAGGCCATAAGGCAAGTTGAAATGCCTCATTGGAAAAGTGAAGCAGAGTGAGTAGTTCACTTTGTCTCCCTAAACAGAAGTTTCAGTACATGCAAAAGTGCAGAATCTTAACAAGGAAATGACCTTTCATTGTCTTGTCTTGAGAAATGAAGGAATAGTATGCACAGCAAATGACTCAAGTGAGTTCATCGAAATATTGAAATCTTAAAAGAAGGCATCAATAAAACTCAATTTTTGATTTGCTTACCTACATCATCAGCTTTATTTTGTAGCAGATCTGTATGCTGTCATTTTGTATATATCAGTACCAGATCATATGGGTAGCAGGTCACTCAAAAACATGGGCCGGAAGAGTAAGAACCTGGGGACTGGAAAGGGAGTTCAGGGGTTAAGAGCACTTGCTGTTCTTCCAGAGGACCTGAGTTTGAGTCCCAGGACCCCCATACAGCAATCAAAACACTTCTGCAAACAAAAATAGTCGGGCATGGAAGTGCATGCCTTTAATCCCAGCACTCAGGAGGCAGAGGCAGGCGAGATTTCTGAGATCGAGGCTAGCCTTGTCTACACAGCGAGTTCCAGGCCAGCTGGGTCTACAAGGAGACCCTGTCTCAAAAAGACAAAAAATAAATACATAAATAAATTTTAAAAGTGAGAACTTAAGGGGTGGAGAGATGGCTCAATTTATGAGTGTTTGTTGTACAAACATGAGGACCTGAATGGAATCTTGCAACATCATTTTCCTGTAATCCCAGCACCTAGAAATTGAAGGATCCCTTGGGCTCCAGGTCCAGTGAGAGGTCCTGTCTCAAACGATAAGGTGGGGGCTACAGAGATGGCTCAGTCATTAGGAGCACTTGCTCTTGCAGAGGACCTGAGTTTGGTTCCCAGTACCTACATGGCAGTTATCAACTGCCTATTTATTATTCCAGTTCCAGGAAATACAATTGCTTCTTCTGCTCTCCTTGGTCACCAGGCATACATATGATACACACACACATAAATGCAGACAAAACACTCATACACATAAAAAATAAATATAAGTCAATCTTTTAAAAAAAAAAAAAAAAAGGGGGTTAGGGGGACTGAATTAGCTGGCTCAGCAGGTGAAGGCTGAGCCATCCTGAGTTCAAGCCCCACTATCTATATGGTGAAAGGAGAGAACCAACTCCAGTAAGTTGTCCTCTGACTTCCACACATGCACTGTGATGTGAGCATACCAGCATGCATACACATACACCAAAATAAATGTAATTTAAAATGATAATGCCAGACATGGTGGCACATGCCTATAATCTCAGTACTTGAGAGGCAGAGACAGGCAGGTCTCGGTCAGGTTGAGGCCACCCTGGTCTCTGTAGTGAGTTCTGGGCCAGCTGGGGCTAACAGGAGACCCTGTCTCAAAACAAAAATAATAAATAAAATGACAATAAGATGGAGCCAAGATGACTGAGTGGGTAAAAAGCACTTGAGTAACCAACCAGCCTGATGGCCTAATTCAGTCCCTGGTTCCCACCACAGACAAAAAGAAACAATTCCCAAGAGTTGTCCTCTGGTCTGCATATGTGCACTGTACCACTCATGCAGACACACACACACACACACACACTGTACACACATCATAATAATAAAAAAAATACAAAATTAAAAATGGAAATGTAAGAAGATTGAGGAAGAAATCCAGTATTAAACTCTGGCCTCCACACATAAGTATTCACAGATCAAAATAAATAAGGGGTTGGTAAAATGGCTTAGTGAATAAAGGTGCCTGCTGCCAAGTCCTGTAACCTGAGTTCAGTCACTGGGGTTAGCATGGCAGAAGGAGAAAACTGACTCCTGCAAGTTCTCCTCTGACCTCTCCATACCTACCCTGGTATACACGCATGTTCAAACATTTTTAAAGAGTAACGTACTTATTTTTAATTCATTTTTATGTGTATGACTTTTGTGTACTCTATGCATGTAGATCCTCACAGAAGCCAGAATAGGGCATCAGAGACCCTGGAACTGGAGTTATAGTTGTGAGTCACTGTGTGGGTTCTGGGAACCCAACCTGGGTCCTCTGCAAGAGCAGTAAGGACTTTTAATACTGACCCATACTTCCAATCTCTTTTTTTTTTTTTTCTCCATGTGTATGAGTGTTTTACCTGCATGTATGTAAGTACATTTGTGTGTGCAATGTCCATTGAGGCCAGAGGGTATCAAATCCTTTGGAACTGGAGTTACGCATGGTTGTTAGCTGCCACATTGGTGCTGGGAACCTAGCCCAGGCCCTCTGAGCCATCTCTTCAGCCTCTTAACATGTAATTTTTAAGTTATTTAAGTTAAAAATAAATGTGGGGACTCGAGCAATTATTGAAACTACAACTTTCACAAGTATAATAACAAACTTCCTGTTCTTGTTTTTTGCAGCTTTGGACAGTGCCGTCTTTCTCCTGGGTAGCCTCAAAAGAGATGAGGCCCCCACAGCCATGTTTATGCACAGTGGTGACATCATGGTAATGTCGGGTTTCAGCCGCCTGTTGAACCATGCCATTCCTTCCTTGTGTCTTAACACATCCTGATGGCAAAGGCCTACCTCCCTGCCTAGAGACCACTCTCCCTGCTGACCTCCCCAGAGATTCACTGATTGAGCCCTGTTCGACAGAGGACTGGCAGGTGTGTGCCACCTACTTGAAAACTGCTCGTGTTAACATGACTGTCCAACAGGTACTGGCCACAGACCAGGACTTTCCTTTAGAGCCCATGGAGGAGACAAAGAGAGACATCACCACTGATGGTTCATGCCATCGGGATGACCAGAGTGGTCCATTAAAACGGGCGAGGCTAAATCCTGACAGCTGAGACTTGGAGGTTCCATTCTTTCACTCAGGCAGAACTCATTGTTGATCTCACTGCTGCCTTGGACTGCTTACAGTTTGCTCAGAGAAGTGTTTGACTAGGCCCATTTCTGGTTAGATAGAGGTAGGTATGTGTGTTGGTCGTACCAAGGCCTTATGTTAATCCACAGATTTCTCAGTCTCTGCCGTTACCTCTGAGGGAGGTAGAAGAGAGTGTACATGTCTGTGCAGTGTGAATACCTCCAATTTTATTAATAGGAAATCCAGTAATCCTGTGGCCTCGACAGTTTGTGGTTCTGTAAACCAGCCATTAGAAACTTCCTACCCTCTAGTCATCATCAAATTCTTTGAGCTTTTCATTCTTCTCTCTCACAGAGGAATCTTCAAATGTGGGTAGAATGCTTGCCTAGCGTGCACAAAGCCCTGGGTTCGATACCCAGCGCCACATGAACCCAGTGTGGTGGTGCTTGCCTGTTATCCCAGCACTCCGGAGTAGAGGATCAGAAGTTCAAGGTCATCTTCAGCTACATAATAAGAGGCAACGTGACCTACATGAGATCATGTCCACACGAAAAAATGTTTCCTAAGAAATCACAGCCATCACTTTTACTTAAAGATAAATATATGCAAACCAGAGGAAAGAGGAACAATAGTTTCTGTGTCTTTTAGGTCTGCAAACTCTCCCTGTTGGCTTTTTAATCTATTTTAATTGTTGAACTAAAAGCGTCTGTAGGGTGTTTTCTCCATGAATAAACTTACTCAGTTTTAAATTAAAGATCTGTATCTGTCTTTGAGGGTTAGTATATCAGGGATTAGTTTTCTGCCTCATTTTATTTGCTGAATTGTTCTTGCTATTGAAACCCTCTGGCTGTCTCTGCCCTATACTACCCTGCTCTGCAGGAGTATTCTTTGTGGCTGTCATAAAAAAGAACATTCCTTGACAGTCCAGTCACTGCTGCCTTGTCAGATAGTACAGGGCTTGGAAATGCATGAAGCATTTGACCCCTTAATACCCTCACTGATTCTACTCCTTACCCTGAACAAGTTAATTTCTCTTGGCCTCAGTTTCCTCATACATAAAATACAGTATTTAATGTCATCTCTCTAGGGGGATTTTGATGCTTTTTTTCTATGTATTAGGTATGCCAGTATTGTATTGCTGTAAGGGCCCTGGAACATCCTAAGCTATCTATGTGGGAGACTGGCTGGGAGCCACTTTGCTGCCTGCAACATGATTTACTAAATTTGTATCTTTCCTCTGTCCTGCCCTTTTTTATTTATTTATTTTTTTTTTATTTTCAGCCTTGAGTATTGAGTTCATATGGTAAGTAGCAGGTACAGCATTTTTTGTAAGGAATGAAAATTAATGCAGATTGAAACCAAGCTTGGTGGCACATGCTAAAAGTTTAATCCCAGCACTTGGGAGGTAGAGGCAGGCAAATCTGATTATGAGGCCAGAGCAAATATCTTTGAGTTCAGGGCCAACCTAGTCTATATAGGGAGTTGCAGGCCAGCTGGGGCTACAGGGAGACCCTGTCTCTAAAAGACAATGAAAAAAATAATACAGATTGATCACTTATATGTAAGCTAAATTCTAAAATAAGTGCATAATGGAAAAATTGTAATTACCCCTGGGCAATTTTCCTTAAATGTGATCTACCTGAACCCAGCAAGCTGTCATTTGATAAATCCAACAGAAAGTTTATCATTATCCTTAAACAGATTACTCTTTAGAGTATCCAGTAAAGGCATTGCCTTGTGCTTAGGAGCAAATGGAAAGAGGCTGACCAAGAGCAGACGCCTGTCTCTAGGGAGCATGCTCAGTGAGGGGTGGTAAGCAGAGTTGTTCACACAGCCTTCCTTTCTCTCAATCTCTTACTTTCCCTCTACTTTTTTTTTTCTCAATATTTGATGTGTATAAGTGTATTGACTGCATGTATGTGAGTACACAATGTCATGCATTGCTTCCGAGGTCAGAAGAGGGCATCAGATTCCCCTGGAACTGGAGTTAAGAACCATTCATAGCCACCATGTGGGTGCTGGGAATTGAACCTGGATCCTCTGCAAGCACTTCAGTCAGTGCTCTTAACCACTGAGCCATCTCTCCAGCCCCTCTCCCTCTACTTTGTTGTGAAGCATATACAGTTAAAGGTATATAAGGCAATTCTATAATTCAGAAAAATGGCAAAATTGGTAGTTTTCTACATTTGAATAAAGGTGATCATCCTAGGTGTAATTGTCAACCTCACATTTTCATTCATGAGTCAAGCGAGCTGCAATTCATTTCCTATTTCTGTACTGTCCACAGGCCATTCCTTAATAGCTGGGGGTGGGGTAGTCAAAAGAATATTCCGTGTTATAAAAATTATATGAAACTGAAGTTTCAGTATCTACATGACTTATTTGGAGGGCTGTAGAAATGGCTCTGGCTAAGAGCACTTGCTGCTCTTGCAGAGAACCTAGGCTGTCATTTCCCAGCACCTACATAGCCACTCACAACCTGTTCTAACTCCAGTTCTAGAGGATTCAGTACCCTCTTCTGGTCTCCACAGGCACACAATGCACATACATGCAAGCAAAATACTCATAAATTTTTTTTAATCTTTTTTATATATATATATATATATCTGCTGGACATGGTGGTGCACACCTTTAATCCCAGCACTCAGGAGGCAGAGGCAAGTGAATCTCTTGAGTTGAGGCTAGCCTTGTCTACATGGTGAGTTCCAGGCCAGCTGAGATATATGTATGTATGTATTTTGGGGGCTGGAGAGATGGCTCAGCAGTTAAGCACACTGGCTGATCTTGCACAAGACATGGGTTCTGTTCGCAGCACCCAGGTGGTGGCTAAAAACTCCATTTCCAGAGATGGCTCAGCAGTTAAGAACACTGACTGTTCTTGCAGAAGACCCGGGTTCAAATCCCAGCACTGACCTTGCAGAAGACCCGGGTTCAAATGGCAGCTAACAACTGTCCGTAACTCCAGTTCCAGGTGATCTGACAGCCTCTTATGTCCTCCCTGGGCATTGCATGACATGGGTACACTTACTTACATGCAGGCATAACACTCATACACATAAAATAAAAATAATAAATAAAATATTAAATAATAAAAATAACTCCAGTT